CTGAAATAAATAAATAAAATCTTAAAAAGATCCACCAAAAAACAAAAGGTCCAACAAACATTTAACAATTTGGGAACTCGAGTGAGTAGCTATCAAAGTAAGTCTGATTTGATACTCAGATGTGGAAGATCTCGGACTTTCATATAAGGATTTTAAAAATGGTAGTAACACATTTTTATGAGATTTCTGTGTAATTGTGGAGGATGTCAGTGTCATGAGAATCAAAAGCTAGTCGTTGGGTAATAGGACTAACGTTCCCATGTAGTTCTCCGATTCGGAAGTCACCAGTATCAATGAAGCGGACTTCTATATTTGCCATGAACATGAAGGCAAATGTACTGCAAATTGATATTGAAAGCAAATATACAATAGACACTACAAAGTAAAGGCAGAGGAATGTAGAACAAATCCCTCCGAACTGACTAAACTCTTTACCCCTCTGTGTCTTTCAATGCCCACCATTTCCATCTCAGATTCCACGTGTTTTGATCCTGCCATGTGTGGCCACTAAAGGTAATTCGTGGACATGTCCATGCTTAAGGATAACTGGATTAACACTTTATTGACGTTACATAAAAATCAGTTATTTCAAGTTCCAACTCATTTGTGTTTTGCTTGTCTTGTACAGGGGTATGGTCTCACATTCTCAGGCAGTTTGTTTACAGTTGCCACCATGATTTAACATTCTCCAGCATTTCACAGAAATACATAACAGAAGAATATGAATGTGATGTCAAAAAAAAAAAAAAAGAAGAAGAAGAAGAAGCCCTCAGGTGGTTGTTAATTTTTGGCACTGTGTAATTAAACTAGTTTTTTTAATGTTATCTTTTGCCAGTATCTAATTAGCAAAGCCATCTGCTGAAAGAGTAGTGGCCCATCTGCCTAGAATGTTGTTCTCTTCATTTTTATGAAAAGTATCTGCCTTTGCTGGTCCCTGTCTAATTAACTCCTCTCGCTGCGGAATGTGATAATACGCAGCTTTGTTTATATACTTCTGAGAACTGTGGATTTAAATGTATGTAACACGTACGTAAAAGAACCAACCTTATTTCTTTCCCACATTTGATTTACTCCTGAGATCAGAGCTCCGTTTATCACAACTTGAGCATGTGTATGTGCGTGATGGTGAGGTATGTACTGTGTCACGCTTCCTTACATCCCCAGGGTTTCTGCAGATATGAAATGATTTTCTGTAAACCTACTCTATTTCCTTTTCCATCTGTCTATAGCACTGTGACTTCTGGAAAGCTGATGATGTTGTACGTTCCAGGGTATCCCTGGATCGGAAATGCACTTGGCTATTGGAACGATGGAAATGACCACTGGGAAATTCTCAGAGCTAGAAAGATGTTGTCCAGACTGATGGAAGACACTTATATTTTATCATAGACTTCTATCCGACATGTGCAAATATCACCTATGAGTCTGTTTCTCTTCCACCAAAATTATCTAGTGTAGTGTCTTGCACTTGATAGGTAGATACTTCACTATGTATGACATGAGAGAGAGAATGAGCATATGTGTAAAGCAAAGCTTCTGTAAGTAGTTGAAGAGCACAGATGTTACCGGTATGTATTTACAGACAAAACAAAACAAAAAAATGTTCCATAAATGGGATTCCTCATGTCTCTTAAGATATAGATGCTTTCCCATCTTTGCCTACTGTGGATAGTCTTTGGATAGCCAAGTAACCACAAAATTGCTGCTACATGTCTGCTGCCAAAAAGTATAATGAAGATTAAATGCAGAATAGAGAATTGAGATTTTTTTTCTCTACATGGCTACTGCGCAATAGAAAAAGACAAGAAGTGATAAAAATTAGATTTAAAAAAGAACGCAAAGACTCAGGAAATAAGATCATGAGTGTTGTACTGAGATCTGAGATGTAGAATGTTAACGCCTTCGCATTTGTTTTGACTGTCATAAAGATAGGTTTGTGTAGATAGAAAAGTGTCTTAAAAGGTAGTCAACTGGAAAGAACGGCTTCACAAATCAGTAGTGGGATTTGTTCCAAAATTATGATGCATGAAAGAAGAACAATGAATCTCCTGTGAGAATACAGCAAGGAGACTTGATTAAAAGAAATTTAATTGATTAGAACAAATCTTGTGGAATAAAGAAAGTTATGACCAGGTTAAAACATAATAAAATTCCAAACAGAGGGAATAACTGAGAAATAAACTCTGGTACAGGAAGATTTTGCTGATACTCGTATTTCTTTCTAATGAAAGTGTTATTATTATTTTTTTATTCCCTCCTATAGTTGTGATGTGGTCAAATGGGTAAAGTCCAGTGTACTGAGAGAATAGAAAGACTCTATAGGATTAACAGGAACATCTGATTTTAGCCCAATCTGGGGAAGACGTGTTTTCCCCACTGCATTCTGTGATACATTTTGTGATCAGAATCTGTGATCCAGTAATATTTGTCCAGCCCTGCAATAGGTAGTTCAGTCCATTTCTAGTATAAATCTTGTCTATCCTGTCCTCTCTTCAGGCAGGAATTGAATCAACAGAAAAGCCGTACAGTCTTGGTCTTCAATTAATTCTGGATTTGAATATTATTGGAAAGCCGGTTATACTGTAATAAAAATGCCTCAGAAGTAACTTTGCTTCTTTTAATAACTCTTCAGAAATATCTATAAGATTTGTCCTATTTTCTGTTGGTCTAATAAACTTGTGTGTGCAGGTGCTCTTTCTTGCTAAACTGGATAAAGTAATACAATATTTTTGAAAACTTAGATTCTTTTTTCTATTACTTTCCCCATCCAATCCTTGGCTTCTGTTTATCTGAAAACACACAGGCTACTTGGGTATCAGGCAGACTGGGAAGACTGTCTGCCATTTCGACAGAATGCTTTGATGAACAATTTTGATGGCATTTGATAAATATTCTTGCTGCCTTGGGTCTAACTATGCTCCTCATAGATCTTAAATTGACTGAAAAGGGAATTACTATTTAACTTTCTGTAAAATCACTGGGCTAACAAGAGACCCTACGAATACCTCTTTATTTAAATCTTTTTTTACTTTATGGTCATCCTTGCAATTATATAACCACATCCTCCTGGTGATGGTAAGTCAGAGTTGCAAATGGGTCAACTTTGTAAAAGACCATATCATAGTGTATCAATTCTGTTCTTAGTTTCAGTAAGGCAAAATATGGATGTCTTTGTTTAAATACAAATAGCAAAGTGAGTTTTATAAAGAGACCTAAGAAAGGAAAGGTCCATTTGGAATAATAGTAATGCACTTATTTTAACCCCCTGGGGGACACATAGATCTGCCACTACACGTGAAGTCCTTATGTCTGCTCGGGAGGTGTCATCCCTTTTCATGAAAGTATTTGTCATCTTTGCACAGAATTCAAGTCATTTGTTTGCATCAGATGTTGACTAGCTGTGATTTTATTCCTGCCATTAAACATTATGAACTGGAAGACATCACAGAAAATTAACAAATTCTCTTATCAAATGTTGACACTGATAAAAATCTCTAAGTCTACCCCCCGGGAAAGCAGTTATAATATTGTTTCTGTTTGAAAGACACGGAAGGAAGTGGTTCTCTTTAGAATACTTTTCTTATGGACTCATGTTTTCCAAGGAAGATAAGTTATACAAGATACAGTGCTTTGTGTTTTAATCTCTATTATGTAACATTCTTTGGAGGACAGTCAATACTAGATTATGATGCACCATTACTTTGTAATTCTCTAAACCTAAGAGAATAATATCTTCCTAGAAGTAAGAGTGAAGCCATTTTTCTCCTTCATATTATTTGACAGTAACTTATTTTTAGTTTAGTTTAGTTTATTATTTAACACTAGTTCAAATTCACAAAAAAATTGCCCTCTACTTACTTTTTCTGATAATGGGGTGCCTAGTTGGTTAAGCATCCAACTTTTGATTTTGGCTCAAGTAATGATCTCAGGGTTGTGAGATTGAGCCTCACATCAGGCTCCACACTGAGCTTGGAGCCTACTTATGATTGTCTCTCTGCCCACCCTTTTCCCCTGCTCAGGCTTTCTCTCTCTCAAAAAAAAATTTTTTTTAAAAAAAATCACTCATAATGATTTAACTGGTCCTCCAGAAATCCTAAATTCTGTGGAAATCTAGCTCTAATAATAAGCTAAAACATAAATCCACATTCCATGCAATAATACAAAAGATAACTCAGTTTCTTAAATTTGCTCAAAGAAGTAATTCACAATCTCAGCATATAGATCGTTAATATTTGCAGTCATCATCATTTCTTCCTATGAAGTAAGGGTTCTATACTATCTCAGCTAATCACAGATTCCATATGTGAGGCAGCCGCATATGTGAAACAGTGCACATCAACTTGATCATTATGAGTTAGATTTGGAAAGTTTGGGAAAACATGCTCGAGAGTTTTGGCTCTATTTAGTCAGAGCTCCTAACAGTGTGAGAATTCTTGGTGTTGGATGAAGTAGTAGATGTGCTCTTTGCATGAGTTATTTCTCTGATTGACTGTTCATCATTTATATGTGGATCTTGGGAGTAAGAATGTACAAAATCATCCTTGCTCCATTATCTTTGAATATTGATAAATGACATTCTATTAACAGAAAATACAAATGTCTAAATGAATATTTACATCATTTTGTTCCATGGCTTTTCTTTCCAGCATGCTGGATAGATCCCATGGATCTATCCTGTGATTTCACTGAAGTGATACTTTCAGTAATTAGCACAGTAGCCACCAACTCCTTGCATGTACCTTTCTTACAGTGATCTCAATATCACACCGTGCTTAGTACAGATGCTTAGGGGACAAGTCCTTGAAAGTGCTTTGATTTCAAAGCTAAATATAAGCCCCTATGAGTGAATTTCATAAATTTTGTGTAAATTCTTTTAGTATGAAAACTTTGATGCCATATTATGCCCACATTTCCTACTCTAAATACCGATGCCTTATTTTCCCCCCCCCTTATTCAATCAAAACCATATTAAGTCACTGTCTTTTTGGTGTTTCCTACAGGCTGTGGAGTGGGAGTGTGATGAAGCCACCAAGAAGGCCTGTTACAGTAAGGGTAAATCCAAGGTAAGGAGCATGCAGGTATGTGTAGTCACTGCTGTTTGGCAGGACTATACGTTCCTGATGATGGTGCCTTGTAAATTGAAAAAGATAAACAAAGTAAGATTTAAAATAAATGTACAGTAGGTTCTCCAGGTTTTAACATTAAATCAAGATTAACCACAGTTTGCAAAAAAGATTCAAAATGCAAATCAGATCTGATTTGCACTATTAATCATTAGGCTAAGATAGAGATTCAGTTGGCTATGATATCATTTGGAAATATGGGCCTGATTTTTAAAAATAACATTTTAATTTCCCCCAATCATATCTTAGGGCTGATTCTATAAAGTGACAATATGATAAATAGATAGATGTGTAGTGAAATGACGAGATACCTGCACCCCAATGTTCATAGCAGCAATGTCCACAATAGCCAAACTGTGGAAGGAGCCACGATGTCCTTTGACAGATAATGGATAAAGAAGATGTGGTCTATATATACAATGGGATATTACTCAGCCATCAGAAAGGATGCATACCTATCATTTATATCAACATGGATGGAACTGGAGGGTATTATGCTGAATGAAATAAGTCAGTCGAAGAAAGACAATTATCATATGGTTTCACTCATATGTGGAATATACAAAATAGTGAAAGGGACCATGAGGGAAGGAGGGAAACTGAATGGGAAAAATTAGAGAGGGAGACAAACCATGAGGGACTCTTAACTCTGGGAAACAAAGGGTCGCTGGAGGGAAAGTGGGTGGGGGGATGGGGTAACTGGGTGTCGGGCACTAAGGAGGGCACATGATGGGATGAGCACTGGGTGTTATACACAACTGATGAGTTCCTGAACACTACATCTGAAACTAATGATGTACTATATGTTGGCAAATTGAATTTCAATTTAAAAAATAGTAAAACTATATCTAAAATGATGAGCTTTCTTTATAATCAATCTTAAAATATCTATAAAATAAACTCCCTCTCTCTCTCTTTCCTTCTCTCTCTCTCTCTCCTCCACCCCCTCCCTTCCTGTATGAAAATCAGCATCCCCAAATTCCTAAAGAAAGAGCAGTTTATAGCTAAGGTTGGAAATGCATTTCTTGAGCGACTGTGAATAGGGTAGACCTGCTCCCACATGTATAGCTGGCTCCATAGAAGCAGAATTCCTCCATCCAGGGAAATCTGGTTCTCAGAAAGTGATACTGGATCATCTTGAGGAAATTCCTTTGCAGCTGGTACATAGGCTCATCAGGTCTTGTCTTGAGAGGGATGGTCCTACTGTATTGGAGCACGGGCCTTTCCAATATGAATCACAACTTGGGTCACACAAGAAAGCAGATACCCAGAGAGTAGCAAGTAAGGCTCCCCATGCACATGTGATCCCAGAGCCAAGAGCTTGGGGGAAATCTAGCCTATGAAGCGAGTGATCCTCTGTTGTTTGTGAAAGACATTAAATGCTTTATTTCATCCAATTTCATTGCCCGTTTTTCTTTTACCTGAACAATTTTGAGAGTCAGACATGGAGGCAGATGTCAGCACACTTAGTTATTGGGTTTTCCAAAACCGAGTAAAGAACCTGGGAAGAAGGAAAGTGGAAGAAATGCAGTCTTAGCCAGGGAAAACACTTGGAGACAAAGAAAGAAAAAAAAAAGGGCAGAAATTGATGAAGGCAATTTACTGGGAGATCTTTAACCTCAGAAAATGCTTCTGAGATAAATCATCAGAGACACTAGAAGATGTAAAGATAACCCAGGTTACAAAACCCAGGAAAATTGTCTTTTAAAATGCCCCACAAAATAAATGATAAGTAACTAATGAATTATTACTGAGTTTGGAGAAATTATTTGTAAAACTCTGTCTGAAAAGATGCTTTTTATATGGTTTGCTTTTCCTCCCTGGAATGTTTTCATGTCTTGCTACACCAGATGCATTGCCTCCTGCTCACCAGAGCACAGGGAGTTCCTCAGATAAGATGGCCTGACTGCGATGTGGAGAGGCAGGACTGCCCAGGGCGCTGGGGGCAAAGACTGTTTCCTTCTACCAGCAGAAAGAATTGACCTTTGTTTCCATGGTTCCAATACCCTCATCATCCCCTTTGCCCAGCATCATAGTTGCCTTCCAGGGTCTGTGGCTATGCCTCCTCCTTCTTGTTTTTCCTCTCCTTCTTCTTGTCTTTATCTTTTTCTTTTCTTTTCTTTTTCTTTTTTTTTTTTTTCTGGCTTTAGCTCTTCCTTGTCTTCTTCCTTCTGGGTCTGTGAGCATGCCAGTTAGCACACTTCAGTTTGGGGAAACCCAGCAACAAACTTGGTGGACACCTACCTCAGTGCCTGTCTCTCAGCATGGGTGTAACCTGGACCTGTGGGGGGCCGTGCCTTCCTACCCTTACAAGGGTCCTCATCTTAGGCATTCCCCTGGTTTCATCTTGCCTGCACTACCACCTTTGCCTTCCCTAGTTACTGCCTGGGATTTGTATCTTTTTCTGCAGGATTTCCTGCTCCTGCTGCACCCCCACATTACACCAGTTACCAATAGCCATTTGTATTTTCGCTGTCATGCTGCATTTTCAGTATGCAATCCATGGCCCTCTGCTGGGAGCTGGACCTGATGGTTTCTTGTTGAACCCAGGACACAGCCTCTGTTGAAAGTGTAACCCCAGTGTTTTGATGTGTGACCAAGCACATGAGACCCGAACTTGGGTGGTGAACATTATTAATTCAGGGTTTCTCACCATGCCCCCTCTTTTTAAATAAATATTTATTTATTTATTTTAGAGAGAGAGAGAGAGAGAGAGCCGGGGTGGGAGAGGAAGAGAGAGAAACTCAAGCAGTCTCAGTCCTGGGCACAGTGCCCAACACGAGGCTCAATTTCATGGCCCCAAGATCACAACCTGAGCCAAAACCAAGAGTTGCTCACTCAACTGACTGCACCACCTAGGCGCTCCTCACCCTGCCCCTCTCAATGTCTAGGGGCAGATCATTTTTAGTTGTGGGGTCTGTCCTGCTTGTTGTGGATGTGTAGCAGTGTCCCCAGATACCCACTAGGTGCTAATAATCCCTCTCACCCTGTCATGACAACCAAAAACAACCAAAAATTTCTACAGAGATTGCCAGATACTGACATCGTTAAGAATACCTACTGTATTTCTCCAAATGCTGAATGCGTTGGCAACTTTTACACGGTCCATTTCAAATGATTTTTGTGCTTCCTCTAGATCATATTTATTCATTTCATGGACTTTTTAAAAAATAACGATTTCCTTCCCCTCTTTGGACCATCAGTCTCCTGGGTCCCTTATGTATTTAAGGAAAACATCTGATTATTTATGTAGCCTTCTCCTGCTGATAGTCTTTGAGTCAATATATATATATATATATGATAGTCACAGAGAGAGAGAGAGAGACAGAGACACAGGCAGAGGGAGAAGCAGGCTCCATGCCCCGGGAGCCCGACGTGGGATTCGATCCCGGGTCTCCAGGATCACGCCCTGGGCCAAAGGCAGGCGCTAAACTGCTGTGCCACCCAGGGATCCCTGAGTCAATAATTTTATAAGAATTAGTGTGGTAGCCTATTCTTAGCAGATCTTTACTGCTTGGAGTGAAAAATTGCTTCTGCTAAATCAAAACTGACCCATGCTTTGCCTTAAGCTGTGACCATTGGTTGTTTGGTGCTTAGAAATTAGGCAAGTGAAAATCAGAAACAAATAGGAAAGAGCATCTTTCATTCGTTAGGTAACATACACTTGATTGACAGAAGGGGTCCGTCATTACACCCTCAGCTGGGTCTTCTGTGACACAGAAGGCAAATGAGCAAAACAAGTATCATTGCCTAAAGTCAGACCATCAAATTTCACATGTTCCTAGTTTTAATGGGTTAAAACCAACGGCAAATCTCAGTAGTTACAAGTTGATTCAAACTGCATCTGTAGATGGCATTTTTTTTTAAGAGGAATATGTTAACACAGATGACGATGAATGTCAAGTGCCAGCCCTCTAAGGAGAGATCGCGTGTTATTTTAGGTTGCATTAAGTGTATTGATAGACCCATATACACTTTTGAACAACCTGTGCTCAGTTGAAATGGAATTCAGTTTTGTTGCAGAACCGTGTGAGGTAGAAGTTCATGTGCATAAAATGATGTGATGGGTTACAGAGGCATCAGCCTAAGCAGCGCTGTTGGGATGGTCCATGGGTAGGGAGAGCAACAGGATATCCGGCTCTTCATCCTCTTTCACTAGTTCCTTTTTTTTTACTTAGCTTCTCTGTTACCTTCTTAGAATAGCCCCTGACATAGTGGCCGTCTGTGAGAGGCCTGAGCCCAGCGCCAAGGACACAGAAGAGAGGGAAGCAAGGCCCTTCCTACGAAAAGGAGCGGTCAGGCCAGACACCACCTGCCCAAGGGCCAGCCCCTGAATTCACAATTCAGACAACCCAAATTTCTCTGACAGTTCAAGGGGCCAAATCCGAAAACATTTTCACAGAGTCAGCTTACCTAGAAGCAATCCTCTTATCCGCGGTGTTGCCTCTCGGAGTTTCCATTATCCATGGTCAACTGCAAATCCATGGTCCAGAGGCAGATGATCCTCTCTGTTTGATGTCACGTCAGAAGGTCAGTAGTACTGTAACACTACGTGACGATGTCTGCATCATTCACCTCGCGTCCCCTCATCACGTAGGCATCTTATCTCACATCATCACTCACAGAAGGGTGAATACAGTACATAAGACGTCTGGAGGGAGGGAGAGACCACATTCACAAAACTTTCACTACAGTGCATTAATTTTTCTGTCATTATTTGCTGTTGTCACCTCTCCCTGTGCCTAATTTACAAAATCCACTTGATCATAGGTATGTCTGTCGAGGAAAAATCATAGTACATAGAGGACTTGGTACTGCCCGTGGTTTCAGACATCCCCCGGAGGTCTGTAAGGCATACTCGTGGATCAAGAGGGACAGCTCTAACATCTGTTTGGGGGAGCCTAATTCAGGCTTTCCGTAGGAGCTGTGAGCTTAGAAAT